GGGAACCGATTCCCTCATCCATCATCAATAGTGAAGGAGTTCAAGACATTCGGTAAATATTTTTACTAGTATTTACTTTATAGTAACAAATCAAAATTTGTATATGATGCATGTTTTAAAGATGACGATCAGTTAATTCGCAATTAGTATGTACGGGTGTTGTATTTATACGATAAATACTTACTTTAAAAATTTTAAATTCCGCTGCGTACAGCCCGTATGGTACTATCGAACCCAACAGAAAGGTGGTGTATTAAATTGCAAATTGCCTATGGTGAACAAAAATATGCAACAATATTATTTTTTTCTTATATCAAAGAATAAATATAATACTAAAATCAAATTTCTATTAGTATAAATGATTTGACATAATAATATATTAATTAATTCACACCCTATGGCTAATAGGCTCGAGTTTAACGTTATGACTAAAATACAATGCTGATTAAAAAAAGTATAAAATAGATAATCAACTCTATTATTTTTCAACCCAAAATAGACATACCCTATGAAATGACTCATTTAACATCTTTGACCTGTGCATTTCACGGATTATGTATTAGTTTAGTAGTATAAATATGCATGGTTCAACACGACTATCAGATGTTTGATAGTATAAGTATCCATTTTTATATTTGATAGTGATCATATACATGTATCCATTTTTTCATTACAAAGAATTTGATATTATGAGTATACATTTTATTCACAAGTACGACAATTTATCGGTTAGGATTTAGACCGCACATGAAAATTTGTTACATGTGATAATGTATCAAGAATTATATCAACAGTCAGCCTAAAGTCAACCATCACGTTAAACTTTATAATTATTATATTTTTTTATATATATGACAATCAACTATGGAAAACTATGTCCTCGCAAGAATCTGGATATTGGATTTTCCAGATTGTGTTGCTTATATTACTCAATCAAGTTGTAAATGAAAGACAAAGGATTTTGAAAGAAATAATTGGCGTTTGAACTGTTTTCTTCTCTTACATATATATATAACCAGTGGGATTACATGAGAATTTATATGCCATCTTTTTCATAACAATATTCAAACCATATTTTCCATTTGCCAACCAGAATTATAGGGGAAGATGCGAAAATCATAGCGTGGAACTGTTAAAAGAATTAAAGGGAGATGCATAAGAAAAAAATGTACTTTATTTGAAACGATAGTCAAAGAAATATCTCACATGTCCGCGATATTCTTATAAAGATATTCAAACCAGATTTGCAAGCGATCGATAAGGTCAAGTTGAGGCAATCTTAGTTCCGTACTGTTAATTAAAGGAAATCAAAGAGAGGTGTTGGATTACGAAAGTACGTAGATTATTAATTGTTTGTGAATGTAGCTTCAAGAGTCTAAAATTTATTTATATGACTAGTTGGTTTAAATGAAAGCAACTTCATTACGTGAGCGAAGGTGATATGTACTTATAAGAAACATATATTAAAGTCATTTGTAATGAATTCAAGTAGAAATAAATGATATATATACGTACATACATATACATATACATTCCGTTGACTTGTACGAGCGAAACAAGGGACGACACCTTCGAATCGAGCTAACTATTGCCGGTTCAACTGAAACAGCTTACCCGAATTCTTAATTCCACATGTCAGAATTGTACATTGATTAGGATAAATAAAGTAAGCCAACTCTCAGGGCGGATCTAGCTAATAAAATGAGTGGGGGCCTACTTGTTTCTAGAAAAAAAAAATATAATACATCATAACAACAAAGTATATATACAAAAGTAATATTCATAGTAATTGTTATTGGTTTTCATAACATGGTATGACTCTATAATAAGATGAATACATTTTGATTCGGCCCAAGAATAAAAGAATTCACCTCAAGTATATTTGGATTAAAAGTAGCTAATTTTGAAATATTTTTACATCTATTTTGTCAAGGATATTTACAAAAATATCCTCCAAAATTTGATATGGTGAAAACAATTTGAATATATAAAATGTATTATCTAATATATCAAACTTTTTAACCGCCCTACAATTTAAGTTAACAGCTGCACAAATTAAAATATACGAAAATAGTCTTTTAAGAAACAACATTCAATTAACTACAATAATGCTAAGTTAGATTTTTCTATCAAATTTAATAAAAGTAAAAAAATAAGGATTAAATTTACTTTCACCAACAACAATAAGAATAGTGATCTTTTTTCCAAAGCATCTCATTTTTTTTCCCTCCTTCGTGTCTTTATTTTCCCTCCTTTGTGTTGCCCTAAGTATTGTTTTTTACTTTTAGATTTTATTAATGGTGTATTAAACTAAACTTTGAGTTAGTCTTAGAGGGTATATAAGTTGCAATATTTTTTCCAGTGTGGGCCTAGGCCCACACTGAGGTACATAAGGATACGCCCCTGCGAATTCTCATGGCAATTGGCTCGCTGGCTTCCTAATGAACATTGGAGAATGCTCTATAACTGGAGCAGAATTATGGAGTTTATTCCAGAGCCAGAGTTTAGCTTGGAATTTCAGATACCGACGGGTTGAGGCTGAAGTCGACAATTCTATATTGTTGTGGGTTTCGCAAATAATATAGAGGATATAGAGGAGGTTCATTCAGACTTGGTAATAGTGATTCGTGAGCTCTTAAGTCGAGATTGGCAGGTGAAGATTTCTCATATATTTTGTGAGGCGAACTTTGCTGCGGACTATCTAGCGTCGTATGCGGCTTCGATCTCTCTTGGGTGCTATCGGCTTCCAGAACCACCGTCGGTGTTGTCACATGGCTTGAGTATGATGTTCGTGGTGCCTCTTGCCACGGAATATTTGTCTCTAGTCACTCGTGAACTATAATCTCCCTTTGTACCAAAAAGAAAAAAAAATAAGAAAATGAAGAAATTGTTGAGATTGGTGGGATTAAAAAGTATTTGAATAGAGGTTGGTTTATGACTTTAATATTTATTCTAAGACTGATGTTATTAAAAATTAATTGTATAGAGGACGGTCTATAGTTTAAGATTTATGATATATAATAATGGCAGTGGAAAGTGTTGACGTTTAATTTTTTTCAACTTGACCACCGAAACGATGGTGTGTTATTTAAAGTGCAATTAAAGTTTTTTTATATGGTTTAATAAAAAAAATAAAGGGAGAAGANTTGGCATTTGAATGTGGGTGATTGATTAATGTTGGAGTTAGACATCTCCTGAAATGCATATGTTATGATCTTGCTATTTTTATGATTTTATTTTTGTATTTTTCGGCAAATAAAAGATAGAGTAGGGAATGAAGATGATTGAGAGAGAGATAGCAGAAAAAGAGATACGAGAGTGGAGGGAGGGATAGAAAATTTGTTGTAATTGATTGCTTGATTTCCTCATTACACAATATTCAGCCATATAAGGTGTCCAATGAGTGGGACCCTCGTATTCTCACTTCACTACACATGCTAATAATAAAATGAAATACTAAAGCAAAATAGTAATAATAATACTAATAATATAATGGGCTGAACATGCACTAGCCCACTAAACTGGATTATCGCCCAGTTGGGCCGCCTCCTCATTCTCAATGGGTTCACCTTGGCCCGACTTGCCCCCAAAGGCTGCTTTTGTTTTCATCCCAATAACATCACATATCGGATATATGTTAGCCCGTTCCTCGGCCCCAATTCCATAATTTGGTACATGATAACATAGGATTCCTTTTTTATGTGGGCTACCTAATTCATATATACAGAGGACTCATTTTGTACGTGGGCTACCTAATAGGACTCCTTTTGTACGTGAGCAACCTAATTCATAGTTCATATATATATATATATATATATATATATAGGGTCGCGCTCACACGAGAATGGTGCTCAGTGAAAGAAATAAGAATACATCGTAACCATCGGATCGGATGATCCAACAACCAAAAAAAATAATATTTTTTTATTAAAAAAGGGTATATTTGATATTTTTCCCTCACAGTCATCACGTGTGTTACACCAACTCACTACATCTCTCACCATGCGGGCCCCACCACATGACCTTTCCTTTCATCTTCCCTCATCTCTAACTCCTCTCATTCACGATCCCACCAGGTCATCTTCCGTCGGCGCCGTCCACCGACGACGCTACCACCGACGGCGCCGCCGCCACCATTCTGAAATTATTTTTCCGTTCGTCGCCTCCGTCAAGTCGTAATACCACCCGCCCCACTCGGCCCTCTTCCCCTACGCCGGCATGAGCCACCTCCTCTCACTCCTCCGGCAAGCCGCCACCATCTCCCCCGCAGTCTCCATGTCACAATCATTACCGTCCACCCGATCATTGTCGCCTCCGAATCCAACCACCTATTCGCCTTCCTCTTCGTTCACCTCTTCGTCCATCCCGGCGAGCTGAACACGCCGGCTGTCGCCGCCATCCAAATCCCAACGTCGGCTTCTTCCTCAATCGATTGGTCCAAATCCATCCCATCGTCGCCGCCTTCCAGATCCCGCCGCCACCATCGTCTTATCGCTCAGTCGCCCCGTCCAAATCCCGTCATCGCCGGCGCCTCCGTCCAGATCCGCCGCCGGATAGATAGCCGCTACGAGTTATCACACATCAATTACAAATTCAGAAATCACAATTTGTACTGTTGGGTTAATTGAGTATGTGGTTTTTTTGGAATCAATTTCACAACTTCCGATTTTCACGAAGCTAACTCAGATTTTTTGTGGGGCTATATTTTGAAAATTTGAGAAGCCTGAAGGGCTTATATACAATTTTAATAGTTTTAACTATATTACAATTTAGTTTATGGGTTGAATATGTAATTTATTAAAATTTAACAAATCAAAATACTGATAATTGAGTTGCATATTATTTCGTATGATATGTAAATATAATAAAACCAGTTAATTGTACTTTGATTGATCATGATGGTTTTGTTCATCCAGAAGGATGTGTTGTGTTCAGATTCTAAACTGAAACTTGGTGTGACTTGGGCTCATATTTGTAATTGTTTTGAAATGGAACCTTTACTTTGATAGCAAAATAAATAAATAAATAAAAATTGTACAATATGTATGGATATGCATATGAAAATATTTTTTTTTTAATATAAACAACAAGTTATTTCAATTAATTAGATAGTTTCAGTTAAATCGGTTCGTTGTCAGTATGGATTTGCACATGAAAATAACCCACATTGCAAGATGCACTATAGTTTTAAACGAGATGCACATTAGGTGACAATCAAACTGCACTAGTGTTAGATCAAATAATATTAATTCGTAATACATACCAAAGTAACCGCATCACTATACCAGTGTGCATTTTCATAAATACCACAATACTAAGTATAATTTTATAGTATAAATTATAAATCGTTTGGATTAACTCGATCAATCGGTCGAATAGATCAATTATTCCGGGTTGATTTTTGTTTGGGTTGAAACAAATAATTAAAAATATTTGTGATGTGAGTGCACGACAATATTAGACGAATTATACATTAATGACTATCACAATGCACAATAGTGAATGTAGCCAAAAAGCTAAAAATTTTTGATTGAAATATTTCGATTCGAATATCTATTTTTACTTTAAAAAATTCCGTTATTTTAGTTTGATGTCATCTTACTTTTTTTATACCAAATAACCGAACCAACCGAACTATACGAATTATTATTATTATTATTATTATTATTATTATTATTATTATTATTATTATTATTATTATTATTATTGTTATTTTATACATTTTTCATGTGCTGCAAGTGCACGATATTATTAGGCAAATTGCACATCAGTTATTATCAGATTACACAATAGCGACCTAAACCCAACAAAACTAAATTTTTTAGTTCGAAAATATATATTATGATCGACTATATGTGTTTACTTTCAATTTTAAAATAATAATTATAACTTTATAAGTATATATAATAGTTTAATTATGTTATTTTGATTAGATCAAATAACTGACCGAATAAATTGATCATTTATGTTTAGTTTTAATTTGATTTGGAAGAAAAATGTTGTTAGTTCGATTATTATATGATAGAGTGCACATTAACGACCAGTGTAGTGCACAATAGTAGTAGACAAATTGCACATTAATGGCTCTCATACTGCACACCTACAATCGAAATTGACGGATTCGAAACTATATATGTGAGTTCGATTACCTTTTTAATTTTTACAATTTCAGCTATATTAGTTCAATGTCGACTTTGTTTTTTTTTTTGTTTTTAATTTACTTATCAATAGTTTATATTTATTAAGTTTCTAATAATATATTGTTAAACATTTATAATATATTGTTAAAACATAATAGTGTTTGACTTAGTGCACATTAACGTACGGTAATGCAAGTTAGCATTCGATTTAGTACGATTGTCTTTATTTACAAAAAAAGAAGGTAACAAAAATAACGAAATCGACCAAACAAATATAAAAAATATATATTTTTATATATATACAATAAATAATGTATATATATATATCCAAAATTGAAATGCACATGAAAAATACACGCTTAATATCTTGCACAATCATGTTATACTAGATGCACATTAATGCATGTGTGCTTGCACTTTATCGAGATCGGTATTTTGTATATTCCCTATGACAAAAAATAATATTTCTCACATACTAAATATAATTTTAATATAAATAATAAATTAATGGAATTATTTAGGATAATGGAAATACACATTATTAGAGGTTTGTATAATTGAAAATGAACATAACAAAATATAATTCTATAGAATGCATAAATAAAAGTTAAAATAAATGCACATTAATACATGTTGGAATGCACAATAACAATGATGGTATTTTATGTGTTATGTATTTTCAACAATAAATATATATAATATTAGATATATATATTAAAAACTTAAAATATTTTTTATAATATAAATAAAAAATTATTTTAATTATTTAAGGTACCTCAGTACCGAATATTATGGTTGGGTTTTATTTTGTTTGAAATAGTGCTAGACATATTGCACTTTGATGACCATCAGATTGCACAATATTGTTATTTTTTTATTATTATCAGAAGTTATTATTATTATTATTTACATCTTTTTTTGTATATTGTGAATGAACATTACTATGGTTATTGAATAATATGAAAAATATTATTTTTATTATTTTAATTTTTTTATGTATAATGGGTGCACCGTATGGTTGTATGAATTGCACCTTAGTGTTAGACGAAATGCATATTATTGACTACATGTTGCACAATAGGGACCGAGTCGACTGAACTAAATTGTTTGATTTGATATTTTGTATTTCGGTTCGATTATTGTGTATATACTGTTAGTCTTTTGTTAGTCTGTAACATATATTTCAATGAAATGTATTACATGTTTAGAAAGTTCGGTTTATTGTAATTTTTCTTTTTCAAAATTTCGAATCAACTATTTCGATTTTGAAAATTTGGTAAAACAGACCGATGAACTATATTCTACATTCTATATATATTTTTTTGAACTTTTAACGTGTAAATACACGCATTATATTGTGTATTGTACTGAACATTATTGTGCATTAATTGAATTTTATTAAATTGCATATTTGCCTAACACACTAAATTAAAATATGTTAACATATGATAAACTGCACTCAAGTCCCTTTAATTTATCAAATTTACAAAAAGAGACCCACAATTCATGGACTAAATCTCTGGCAGCAACAAAAGACCCACAGTTCAGCCTTCATCTCTCCCAATTTCCATTCCTTCCTATCATCCTTCATCTCTCCCAGTTTCCAATCGCTGGCTTCCAACGCCGTCATCAAGATCGAACAATTCGTGTCTCTTCTCGACAAGACTCATTGTGTTGGTTACGCCCAATTCAGCCGCGAGCTGCTCTCAATTTCGGATCGATGTCGGCCAGTGCACTAAGACTCTTAAATTCGGGTCGGGGAAGATCGAGCAGAAGAATACGTCAACGACCATCACCTTCGCGTCTCCGGCGGCGACGGTCCAGGTAGTCGCTGATTGGGGGCGTGAACGGCCTGCGGCGGTGTGGACTGGGTGAGAGGTGGCTGAGACTGGGTCGACGTCCACTGGACCGGTATGGCACGCATCGGCGTCGGGCTGGTGGCCGGCCGGCGGCGGGTCAGGTAGTGGTGGCCGACAATCGTGCGAGAGAGTTGTGTATGTGTGTGTTATTTGTGTGTGAGAGATGATGGGTGGGTTTGTGCTGGCCGGTTGGTGACGGTGGTGGAGGACGGTGGCGACGGAATCGAACGGGCGGATGCCGGCGGCAGATACAGTGCTGGTGCCGATTGTGTGTGTGTGTGTGTGTCTGCAAATCGAATTGTGAGAAATCAGAAAGAGAGATGGTGAATCGTGAAAAAATAGATAATAGATATTAAATGGTGAGTGGGTCCCACGTAATATATGTATTGACTAATTTACCCCTTAATTATTGGTCAAATGTACATATTTGACCCACTATGATCAAATAATTACCAGATTGCCATTAATGATTGACCATAGTTTGACTTCATCATAACCATTCATATGATTGATCCCATGGTCTAGATCCATTCTTATTTCTTTCACTATCTACCATTCTCATGTGATCCTAACTCTATATATATATATATATATATATATA